AACCCAAACCATGAATCCTGAGTATTATCATTGGTTGAGATTAGATCAGACTGTCCGTTCTTGGTTGTTTGCTACCCTCTCTCGTGATATTCTTGTTGAGGTGCATCAATTAAAGAATTCGGCAGCCATATGGGAATGTTTGGAGGCTCGTTTTATGGCTGCCAGTTTGGCTCGATCCATGGAATTAAAACAAATGTTATCTCACATGAAAAAGAAAGAAAATCAATCCATGGATCAATATTTACTTGAAATCCGGAAAATTGCTGAGTCCCTGGCATCCATTAATTCCCCCGTGTCTGACCATGATCTCTTGCAATATGCACTTTTGGGGTTGGGTCCGGGATATGAGTCATTGGTGGGACCTTTGACTCTATTCCCGGAAGGTCTTACTTTTGATAAATTGTGCACCAAGCTTGTCCATCAAGAAGCCCGGTTACACTATCAACACCGTTTAGAGACCACCGTTGGAGCTCCGGCCTTTGCAGCCCACGGCCAGCAGCCTGCCAATCCCGGATAGCAGCCGCCACAAGTCCAGCAGCCCCAACAGCCGCAGCAGCGCGGCGGACGTGGTCGTGGCAGAGGTCCACGCGGACGGGGTGGCCGCGGACGGGGTCGTGGTGGCCATTACTATCAGCAGCAGCAGCCTCACTTCGGCCAGCAGCAGTTTCATGGTGCTGGACAGCAACAGCAGCCGCCGAACGCGGTCTACGGCCGAGCATCTCCACAACCCCAGATGATGGGTATACCGGGTACAGTTAATTGTAATTCTGTTGAGTCATTGTCTTATACTTCTGCACCATATATTTTTTGTACTAACTATGCTTCTGCAGGAGGTCCATCCTTTGAGAATAATTTTGGTTCCGTTCCTCCTCCCATCGTCTGTCAAATCTGTCATTCACCAGGTCATTCCGCTGTTAATTGCTCATCCCGTTTTGTTCAACCCTCTGCACCTGCTTTGGCCGTCCCTACTGGAGAGTCTTCTCCTACTGTTTGGTATCCTGACTCTGGCGCTTCCGCTCATATGACCCCTAATGAAGGTATTTTAGACAATAAATCTGTTTATTCTGGACCACTAACTGTGACGGTTGCTAATGGTTCTACTTTACCTGTTATGACTGTTGGTGAAGTAGCTTTACCTTCTCTGCCGCGTCCCCTTCATTTAAAATCTATTTTTCATGTTCCTCATCTTAAATATAATTTATTATCCATCCAAAAATTATGTGCCGATAATAACTGTTTTGTGATTTTTGACAAGAATTCTGTTTGTGTTAAGGACCACAATTAGGGGGAAGTGCTTCTTAAAGCTTCTAATAAAAGTGGCGTTTATCCTATTTCCTTGCCTCAATCCTCATCCGTTGCTTTTGCTACCCATGTTGCTCCGGGACAAGTCTGGCATCGGCGGTTGGGACATTGTGGCAGTCGTATTTTAGATAAACTTAGGAAGTCTGGTTCCATTCTTAGTAATTCTAATTTTTCACATGATTGTATTTCTTGTCGGTTAGGAAAATCTCAACGGTTACCTTTTCAAGAAGTTTGGCATAAATCTACTGCTCCTTTATTTTTGGTTCATTCTGATGTATGGCAGTCTCCTGTTCTGTCTACCAGTGGTTTTAAATATTATGTTTTATTCATTGATGATTTTTCCCGGTTTACTTGGCTATATCCAATGCGCAATAAAAGTGAAGTCCTAAAACATTTTATTCATTTTAAAACCATGACCGAAAATCTTCTCAACTCTAAAATTAAAATTTTTCAAAGTGATGGAGGGGGTGAGTTTGATAATCATGGTATGCGTAATATTTTTCTTGAAAATGACATCTTATTTAGAAAATCTTGTCCTGACACTCCTGAACAGAATGGGGTGGCTGAAAGAAAACACCGTCATCTTCTAGAATTAACTCGCACTATGCTTTTTGAGGCAAAAATGCCAGCTACATTCTGGGTGGATGCGGTCTTTACTGCTACTTATATTATCAATCGTCTCCCTACTCCAAATTTAAATGGTTTATCACCTTTTGAAAAATTATTTCATCACTCTCCGGACTTCTCTTTTATGCGTATTTTTGGGTGTGCCTGTTTTCCAAATTTTAATGCCAATTCTGCCAATAAACTTTCACCCCGATCAGTTTTGTGTGTTTTTCTGGGATATGCTCCTGAGTATAAAGGTTACCGTTGTTTGGACCCACTTACCGGCAAAATTTACATCAATAGGAATGTCAGATTTCATGAAAATTATTTTCCATATTCTGAGTTGATTTGTTCTAAGTCCAAAGACACTGCTTCGGTATTCCCATCACCACCGCTTGCCGACATGCCATTGGTGTCCCCATCCCAGATGTTTGCTCAACAAAATATCTCAGCCACCTCACCTTCCCTCAATTCCAACAACTTGCAGAATACCCACACCAACTCGGACACACTGCCTCGGCCACCATCTCCCATGCAGCCATGCAGTTCTACCACCCATTCATCCTCATCCAATCCACCCGAGACCCCCCCCACCAACTCCAGTGCCACTCGACAATCCATCGGACCATCAGCCCACTCCCAGTCCACCCAGCAGCCATCACCCGCCACCTTCTCCCCCGAAGCAGACCGGTCATCCAATGCAAACACGAGCAAAATTAGGAATTTTTAAACCAAAAAGTATTTTTACTCTTAAAACAGATATTATGGCATGTGACCCGTCTTGTTTTTCCATTGCTAATAAAGATGCTAAATGGAGGGCGGCTATGGCTGAGGAGTTTAATGCTTTAATTGACAATCATACCTGGGATTTGGTTCCGTTCAATCATCATAAAAATGTGGTTGGGTCTAAATGGATTTATAAAACAAAATTTAATTCTGATGGGTCTGTTGAGCGACATAAAGCACGTCTAGTAGCTCAAGGATTTACTCAACAGGCTGGAGTTGATTTCTCTGAAACTTTTAGTCCTGTAGTCAAACCTACTACTGTTCGTATTGTTTTGTCTTTGGCTGTTTCGTTTGGTTGGACTATGCGTCAATTAGATGTTAAAAATGCGTTTCTTCATGGTAATTCGACAGAGGAAGTTTATATGCGTCAGCCGCCTGGTTTTATTCATCCTCAATTTCCTAATCATGTGTGTCGTTTAAGAAAGGCTATTTACGGTCTTAAACAGGCCCCTCGGGCATGGTTCTACAGATTCAGCAGTTTTCTTCTCACCCATGGCTTTATCTGTAGTAGGTCTGATAATTCTTTGTTTATTTATCGCCATGGTCCGTCCATTATTTATCTACTTCTTTATGTGGATGATATTATTATCACTGGTAATTCCCCTTCCTTTATCTCTTCCTTTATTACGTGCCTTGGCCGTTACTTTGCTATGAAGGATTTAGGGGATTTACATTTTTTCCTGGGTGTCCAAGCTAATCGTGTTACTAAAGGATTATTTCTGTCTCAGCAAAAATATGTGTCTGATCTGTTAACAAGGTTTCATCTTCATACTCTTAAACCTGTTCGTACACCTCTTCCTTCTAGAACTAAGTTATCTCTCACTGATGGTGAACTTCTTGCAGATCCTACGGAGTACAGAAGTATGGTAGGTGCTCTACAGTATTTGACCATGACTCGACCTGATATTACATTTGCTGTTCACTTGGTTTCCCAATTTATGCATGCTCCCCGTACTTCCCATATTTTGGCTGTTAAGCGGATTTTCAGGTACCTCCAAGGCACTCCAGATCATGGTCTCCTTCTCCGGCCGGATCGGTCATCTCCAACTATTCAGGCTTATTCTGATGCTGATTGGGCAGGATGTCCTGATAGTAGCCGCTCCACGTCTGGTTTTGCTATTTTCTTGAGTCCAAACTTGATTTCCTGGAAGTCCAAAAAGCAGCCCACTGTATCTCGATCCTCTACTGAAGCTGAATACAGGGCCATTGCTTACACAGTTCAGGATACGTTGCATATCAGGTCCATACTTTTCGAGTTAGGGGTACCCATCCGCAGTCCTGTTCGATTGTTATGCGACAATGTCTCTGCTTCATATTTATCTACTAATCCTATTCAGCATGCACGTAGCAAACACATCGACATTGATTATCATTTTGTTCGTGAACGAGTATCACATGGAGATTTAGTTGTTCATCATGTACCTACGCAGCATCAGCTTGCAGATATCTTCACCAAGTGTCTGTCTCCGCAGCGATTTATTTTTCTTAGAGACAATCTGCGCGTTGTATCCCCTGCACAGATTGAGGGGGTGTAATAGAATATTAATTAGCATTAATTAGCTTTCCATATTTCATTAGTTTCCTATTGTATTTTGGATACTCCTTCATTATATATATGACATCCAGGGCTACCACATTGGTAAGCCTTCCCATAATTCTCACACAAAGTAATTAGAACTAGATGGGATACAGTAGCAGAAGTATACAAACTCAGAAAAATACAATAGAAAACTCTAGAGATAATTTTGAGAGTATCTCAGCGCAGCTCTGACAGTCTAACAGCCTCCTCCCCTCATTCCCTCCTCTCTTCGTCTATATTCTCTCTGCACCCTTCTTTCCCCCATGTAGCACAAATCAGTTGATCCCCTCCTATGAGCTGGCTCATTTACCCTTTTGTAAACTTTGGAAAAGTCTCTATTAGTTAATAATGTGCAAGTCAGAATTCCCTTGGGCAGTTGGGCTCTATCATGAGTATATTATTGTTATCAAGTAATGATATTATTTAGTAGAGCTTAAAGTTTGATACTCCGTATTTGATATTGGTAATTTATACAAATTGTATTAATGTTTTCCACAAATATAGATGATGAACTAGCTTGTCTTGCTCATGAAGTGATGAAGCTCACATGAGTCTCCCAACTTCGATTTAAATACTTATTTATTGAATTATGTAAATGAGTAGTTGTTTATAATTTCTTGAACTAAGATATTTGGTGTGAATGCTGAGATAATGAGAAACATACTTTCCCCATTATAATGAAGCAAATGTATTGTTGATATGTTTTTTGAATTCAAATCTTTACTAGGGGTCTTCGTCCTCATATGAGTAAACCATGGCCATCGCGTGCTATTGAGATATTTTCTGTATTTGTTGGCCGACAAAACTCAAATGCATTGCGAGTTTATGGTTCACTTGAAGTTTTATCCGATGATCATCAAATTTGTTTGATTTTCAAGAGAGATAGGAATGATGCTTTGAGCTTATTAAAACACATGGAGTCCACAATTGGTGTACCAGATGGCCCTCGGGGCTATGAGGAGTGCCCATTAGAAATCAAGGTTGAACTAAAGGATGCTGAAGACCGTTTATCTATTAAGGGCTATGTGGATTGGCAGGCTTCGGCTCTTGAAAGATCATTGTGGTGTGACAAACAGCTCTGCAACGTATTCCAAGGTGAAAATGGATTTGCTGCTGTGCACTACTCCATTTTTTCAAAAGCTGTACAAGCGGTGATCAGGACTTCTTTGGGTTTCAAAATGGGTTATGTTAATGATCATTCTCAGAAGGTTTATGGTAGCCTCATTTCTTCTTATAACTGCTTTGACTATTCTTCATGGTATACCAAGGAGTATTATCGGTGTGTTCTGTTTAGGAGGATTGAAGATGAAGTGATAGAACTAAATCATGATTCTTCGTTGCCACTTTCAAGATCTATGGTTGTTGTGCCTGCATATTCTTCTCTTGTTATTGATGTAGATCTAGACATATCTGGTCAAAAGCTATTATGTACTCGAGAGATCAAGATCGGTGAAAGTTGGAAGACTGTAGAGATCAATGATCGTTTGGTTTGTTTTGAATTAGAGTGGTGCGAAATTAAGTGATACTCCCTTTGTCACTTTGTACTCATTTCTTTGTCCTAATGATTTTGCAGAGAAATCAAGAAATGTGTTAGTCTTTTAGATGCAATTGCTTTCTCATGTTCAGGGAAGTGTGATCTGTGAATTGTGATCCCTTTTTAGATGCATTTGCTTTCAAATGTTCAGGGAATTGTCATCTGTGAATTGTGATCAGGGAATTGTGAATGGGATTTAATGTGAATATTTTGACTTGTTGGCAATCAGCTTTAGACTTTTAGTTTGATACATTTCAGGTTTTTGTTTTGAACTATGAAATCTGGAATATCCCTAGATTGCTCTCTAGATTTTTGTGATGAAATAAATGAGTAAAACCTGCAATTTAACTAAAAACCATCTGGAAGAGGAACCATGTATCAATGGTTCGGGGATTGACCTCGGCTGGGAAGAAGAACAGGGGCATCACAAGGCACGGCGGCCTTCAAGCAGAGCCACCTTGAAGAGGAACCAGAATCCTTGCTGTTTTTGTTGCTTTGTGTGATGGAAGTTGGAAGTTTTTATTTGCTATAACCTCCACGATTACTTCTTGTTTTTTCTTGATTGGCTAATCGGGCATCAATATTTTGGTGAAGAGTGCTTTATTGTTCGTAAAAACATTTTTTGGCTTATCAGGCTTATCTTAGAGGTCGTTTGACAATACCATTTTTAAGCTTATCAGCCAACTTTTCATCAAACACTATTTTTATTTTCGCGTTGAATTGTGTAATAAGCAGAAACAGCCAAAGCAGCCACTTCAGTCAGAACTTCATAAATTTCAACAAAATCAGCCAAAACAGTCGATTTTCGTGCTACCAAACGGGCTCTTAATGTCTACCCGTATTTCGTTGGTGTTAAAACTTAAAAACAAACTAAAAATCACTATTTCTACAGTCCAGCTTCTCATCCTTAAGCCAATGTCAAAATTTGCTTGTGATTTTCACATTGTCATTAGTTTTTAGTATCAATTTATTAATATCATAATCTCATATTAGGCCTTTTTCAAGACCTAATGTGTGTTGTAACGTGCTAATGATATTTGCTACAAGTATATGATATTCAACCTATAATAATAAAATGGTACTCCTTCCGTCTGTTGAAAGTTTTCCATAGGTAAATGACACGATTTTTTAAGCAAATGGTTAAATAAAGTAACTTGGGTAAAAAGGAGAGAAAAGAAAAAATTTAGAAAAAGTAAACAAATAAAGTAAAATTAATTAAAAGGGGATAAGTTGGGGTGGAGAAATTGTGACACTACAGTTAACATGTAATGAGTGAGGAGAAACTTGAATAAAAATGTAATTAAAGAGAGTAAATCTACTTACTTAATAATGAAGTACAACCTTCTTATTGAAATTAAATTTTCGATTATTTGCTATTGAGTCCAATTGTAATAGTCATTATTTGCAATTAAGTCCTAAATGCATATTATTTACATGTATTATGACGTATCAATTTCTAAATAAACTACAAAAAAATATAATCATTATATTTGGAGAGAATATGTACATTTAGAATATTTTGTAATGTTGAATTTCGGTGCATATTTTTGAATGCTTTATCAAGTTGGTTTTAGAAAATCAAATATAATTTGAAAAGCTTTCATTCGGTATTTGAAATATTTTGTATATTCTACCTATAATATACAACGTATATTATCATCTCCTATAATAGTATAGGAGGTTAAAGCACTTTTATTTTTATAAATGTGCTTGGTAGCCAAGTCTACCACTCACTCATTCACATCATTAATTTGAGAAACAACCGCAACAAATTATCATCACTTTTAATCAAGTTTAGACTTGATCTTAGTGGAGTACGTGTTGTTTTTCATTGTTGTCTTTTTATCACTAAAATCGGCATTATAACTTAAACTGGGATTAAAATAAGGCTTATTGTAAATATTGTGACAATTCAAGTAAAATTACCACAAAATGTAATGAACAAGTGAAGAGAGATTCACAAAGATATAAAAATGCAGAGACTAAAATAATTAATGGAAATACCAAGTTTTCATAGATCGTAGCACCACATTAACAAATCCATAGAAGCCCATTTCTTGAAAGGAGTCACCGGCTGGGAGAACAAATAAGATCTGGCAACAAATCCAAATGGCAACCACGAAGACAGTAAAGAAGCAACGGCACAGGTATGCGACGCTCCGGCGACTGAGTTTTCCCTTTCTCTCCGGCAATTTGGGACAGCAGCTTCTGACGATATACTTTCTTTAGATTGTTGGAGATATTCGTCGTCGAAACCTGCAAAACAATGTTAGAAAAATAAAACAGTCCGAGACGCGTCAGACGCTGTCCTAAAGAAAGTATTTTCGGTGGCCGGAAATCTTCCCCCAAGATATAACTGGCCCTTCGGCAAGTTTGCCAGACACAGAATCTACGAGGAAATATTAAATAAGATGTAACCCAGCAGTTTATAATAAAATATACGTCTATTAAAGCTTCGTAATATTATAGCTACTTAAGTGTGTTGAATCGCAGAAGTAATTTTATGTGATGTACAAGGGAATTCCAGATTTAGGAACTTTAGGTATTACAAATGGCCAAATAGATTCCAATTGGAATTATGCAAGCCCTACAGGTAACCTTTATGAAGCTTTTGATTGTGAGGGAGATCTTGGAGGAACGTGTTCTCCACACTCGGGGGATGAATTTCTAGGTCATGTCTTAGAAAACGAGAAGAGGGTTCCTACATCAACAATGGAGGATCTATGGGATTCTGATGCAAATGAGGTTATATGTAATAAAGCTTTGCTAGTCACGCGAGAAAATTGCTTGCCCACACAAAATTTAAATACTCAACAAAGAATGTACAAAAAGAGAAACCAACGATCTCATCTCATGAGGACTAGATCTCAATCGCGTGCGGGACTTTGAAGATTCAAGACTCAAGATACTTAGGGGAAGGTTCAGAATAGTAATATATGTACAAAATGGCCCATATATTACTAATTGACTTTTGGAATCCAAATATATGACTCTTTTTTAATTGGACAAAAAAGTGATTGAGATATCCACTCTCCCTCCCGTCTCTCGTCCGCTGGAACTTCCCCTCTCCCGTTTCTCCAAGCCAACGAGCATCGGCCTCAACGAGTCCACCTCCGCCTCCGCCTCCGCCTCCACCGCATCCACACCGCCAACGGCCCAGCGCTCCACCTTAATGTCCGACTGCTCAGGTTTGCCTTCTCCTTTCTTCCCTCTCTTCTCGTTTCTCTTTGGATGGGGGTTCAACAACCATTGAAATCCTACAGTGGAGAACGCAGACGGCGGATGCTAATGATGCGGTGAGCGACGACGAGATCTATTGGATTTTGAGGACGATGAGAGTGGCGATGGATCTAGATCTATAAAATCTGACGCAGATCTATCGATTTCACTGCAAATAGATGCCATGGAAAACGATTGGGATGGTGGTAGGTAGATGTGGGGTGCCTGGAGGGGACCGGACTGCGTCGAAGTCGACGCAAGATAGATCTGGGGGTGGCTAGGGGCTGGGAGGGGGGTTGGGAGTTGGAACGGGGTGGGAAGGTGGCTGGGGGCTGGTGAGTCAAGTCAAGAACGGGGTGGTGGTAAGCGATGGTCGGCGGCGGTCGGTGGCAACAGTTGGCGACGGCGCTGGCGGGGTACGGCGGTAGTCAATTGTTTTGGTTGTTGGGTTAAGTAACTATGGCCGGGAGTAACTGTGATTGGGAGTAACTTTGGAGGTGTCCTTATGCCACTGCCAGCGGGTATGTCACTGTGGCGGTGCGGCGGTGGCAGCCGCTAATCGAGGGCGGCTTCAGTCACTGATTGTAGGGTGCTGGCAGGCGGCAGTCACCGGTGATGGCGGCACTGGTAGTCACTCGATGGAGCGGTGGTCACTGAATAGAACAGCGGTAGTCACTGGATGGCGTGGCGGCAGTCACTGTGGCGGCAGTCACTGTGGCGGCGGTAGTCACTGCGGTGGCGGAGTCACTGCGGTCATGGAGTCACTGTGGCGGCGAAGTCACTTTGACTGAAGTCACTTTGCACTGCAGGGTTTAATTGTAATGTTAGACCACATTTTTGTAATTTTTCAAAAGATGTCTCATTTTTGTCTTTTGTCTCTATTTTAGTAATATCCAGGCCAAAAGGCCTTCTGATTACTACACTTTGGGTTGGGTGCTTCTTTGCTTGTTCGTTTTTTCTTTTTGTTTGCTTTCTTATTGTTCTTTTGCTTGTACTTTTCTTTTGCTCTTTTTTAATAAAGTTCCCTTTTCATTAAAAAAAATAGAGTGGAGGAATAGTACATGCGGATATTAGAGCAATATTACCCAGAAGTAATATTAGAGCATGCACTTTGCAATATATATAAATAAAGCAATTTTAAGTTTGTTAGGAATAGTGGGTGATCCATGAATGGAGGAAATAATTGCGGATAGCCATGCAAGTCTTGGCACATTCCGCTTGACACGTTCAAAGCATTTTAAAAGAATAAATTTATACGGAAGCGTTCAAAATATTATCCTAAGAGCATCACCAATGGGCTGTTGTTGACATTAAAAAAAACTGCCCCGTCATCATTGTCTTACACTTCGTATATATATTCATCTCCAGTGTAGCATGTCATTGCTAATGTAATGCTGACATGTTAATAATTAATGTAAACAGCGTGAACATCACTGTCTTATTTTAACATTGCCTTCGACATGCTGAGTCGGCACATGTGAAGGGAAAATACCGCGGAAATTCTTAAAATCTCCCACCCATGAAATTATCTGCCACCCAAACAATTCCATCATGACATGTACTCCGTATGTTCAAGTAGTGGGGAAGTGATAACTCCCACCCATTCACCTTTTTCCTCTCTGAAGCGTTGGACGTATTTTTTTAGTTTCACTGTCACGCCATACCTCTGTTAAATGATGTGTATGACTATTCCATTCAGGGATCGACATGTGTCATAATTTATTTCATGTTAACGGTGATCCATTGGTGATGCTCTAACTATTTGTTCAAAAAATATTAATTAAATGAAAACTAAACAAAACTAATTTTGTTTATGAAAAAATTACATGAATATTACTAGTTTCAAAGCCGTTTACATAAATATTACCATCGATTATTTGCAATTTAAATTAATAAAAACCCTTTCCATTATCCCTACTCTGCCTCGCCGTAACTGTCCTTGAATTCCCTTCTCTGTTTCTGAATCTCTCTCCCGAATAATAATGCCACCTAAACTCTCGCCCCCAAGAACTCGCCTTACGTTCGCAGCACTAATTCGAGATCTACTCGAGTGAGGCTCTGTGTCATAGTGGTTGGTATCGTTCTCGTAGGGATTTATGCAGACCACATTATACGACGGCGAATTGCTATCCTTTGGATTCAGCGGCGAGCAGAAGACTCCTCCTTTCCTCCAAACAACCGTAACTCTCTCCCCGAATTTCTATCATTTTATGTCTTTCCTTTGTAAATCGTATTACATCTAAACCCTAGTTCATTTTCCTCCAAGCAGGACGGCAAGGTCGCAAGACTCTGAGGCGGCAAGTGCAATTTTTGGTAACTGTTTTTTACGGTAAGAATTGCTCTTTAAAGCCAACAGTTGGTGTCATCTTCGATTCTACTACTTCTTCGTTACTTTCACAAATTCGAGAAAGACAATATTATTTTTTTCATCTATTATTTTTTAATACGTTTCAGACTATGCTTTTCAATTGACAAGATGACTGTCATTTGTCTGCTATAGTTATATATTTCTGAGGTTTGTAATATGTCTGCTCATAGTTGGTTTTTATTGAACATACTCATGCCCTTTTAGAACTCTGCAAACACAAGATATAAAAAAATGTCATGTCTACCATATTTCTAATCAATCTCATACATATTTGTCAATTTAACTAACCATAGTAAGCTATTCCTACTTAAAATTGGTGTTTAGCTCCTCCTTTTCTTACTTTTAAATATATCAGATCATGGAAGATACTGATGACTTCACTTCTGCCCCACTAACTTCAACACCTGTCTCGTGGACATCTATTAAAGCCTCAGTCCCGTGACTCCGTGTAAGCCCAGATGCGTAAGTGTACATAGCAGATTTTATACATTTACTTTCCGTGTGGGCAACCAACTTTGACAATATAAGTTACTGACCTTCACCTCATTTTTTCTACAGATGTACATGAGGCTTGTCAAAAAATCTTTGATCTATAGGAGCCTAAAGTGAAGGAGAGTGATCACTTTTTCTAGGTGGTTTGATTCAATTTCTGTGGTAATGCAGAAGTTAGAACCTCATCAACTAGCTCTTTTTACAAAAACAATATTTGGTCCGTTCCTAGATTCTAGGAATATGTGTTGTAGTAGGCAACTCATACAGTATCTCTTGGGAAATTTGGTTGAGTTTGACAATTCCAACAACCCCTTTCATTTGTATTTCAATATATTAATGAGTTCATATATCAATGAGTGTGTTGTGTTAATGCTTAAATTTGCTGAGGTTCTACCGATGCATATGAGAAGCTCTAAAGTTTGTTCATCAAATGTTTCAGACTATCAAGCAAAGTGGGCGCATGACCTCTACTACTATGGTCACTTAAAAGGGAGGGCAATGTAGCTCGTGAAGATGGCAATATAGAAAGAAGTTTACACTTATTTAATATGTTTACTATTATCATTTTCATCACTTTTGGATAATCTTCAATGACCTTCGAGTGATCATATTGTTTTAGTATGTTTTGCCTAATTAATTTGCTTTAGACAGATTTGGGCATTTCAATATTATAATTTCAAAGAAATGAAAATTTGTCACCCGGACATCTGAAATTTCATGGACTCAGTTGTTGCATTTTTGGTGAACATGTTGAATTATAAATTACCTCTCTAGTTTTAGACGAATCTAATTGATGCGACAATATTGGTATGTTGAACAAGTATTATTAAAATACTTGACCTCCGAATATTGGTAACAAAAGAAAGTATTCCCAGATGTTGCTGCAATGCTGCATAAGGATTATTATAGAACATCTATCTCTACCGACAACCATTACTTCATTCCCAGATTTATGCACTTCACTCTCCCTGTCTTAACATTCTATGCAAAATGGAAATGATCCTACATTACACCCGACATTATCCTTGACTTGCATATAAAAATTAAAGCTCATTTCACTATCCACAACCGTGGGTGTCAAGACCTTGTCAATAAGGTACAAAATTCGTAAATTCTGGATCTCTTTATCAACAAATACAACATCCCTCAGCCACGTCAAAAGCTCCTCATACATTGTCGAAGAATCAAGAATCATACCATGTGGATATTTGATTTAGATTTCTTTATCGTCATTCCACCCACCCCTACCAACACTGTCACCAACAATGATCCATTTCACTGAAAAAGAAAAAACAATTACTCAAATTTGTTGTACTAAAATAATAGTAATACATATTATTTTAACTACCATCAGTACTCAACATGGTAGTAAAAATAATTTAATCTACAAATGGTGTATCTGAGGATGTATAACACATGATATAATACAGAGTAACTTTCTGGCAACAAGCCATTTGAAAACCAAAGCTACTATTTTCATAGTATTTTTCAGTTATTATCTGTAAGGAATAAATGTATTTAGATTTTGATGATGCTATAGGATTAGAATTTTAAAATACCCCCAAATCAGATTTTATGTATTAGAATTTTCTATTGTAAGTTTTAGTGTAGTCGACGATCAGAGTTGCTCTATTTTGGATCAGATCTGAAGTGCATCAGAACTGCTCGACCAGACTTGCTCTATGAGAACTGCCCCATCAGAGTTCTCTTAGCAGAAGTCCATCAGAGTTGCACCATGAGAGTTGCTGATAAACTTGGACATCTGATAACCGATGAGAACTACAAATCAAAGGTACTCATCAGCGGACATATCAGAGTCAGAGTTAGAGCTCTATCCGGGATCAGAAAGCCATCAGAACTCAACTCATCAGAAGGCAATCAGAATCCAACACATCAGAAGAGCCTGATCAGAACTCGACTAACACTTAGAAGATTTCAAGCAACATCCAACAGCTATGAATCCAACGGGTAAAACATCCAACGGCTAGAAGACTGTGCACGAAAAGAAAGCATTTAATGCACATTAAATGAGCCTGATACGCTGAAGGATTGATTGCAAATGATTGACCAAGGAATCCGGGAAGATATATTATAAAAATAGAAACCTTCCAAAACGGTGGTCAAATCAACAGTACGCGCATTTAATGCAGTTGTCTCCTCCCCCAACGGGTAGACAACCTCAGTATATAAGCTACACTCCGAAGAACAGAAAAACAACTTTGCTACAACTTTTGCTCAACAAAAGTTTCAAGCTTTCTTGAGATTCAAACCCCACAACACAAGAACAAGAAAAAGCCTACGTTGGGAAGATTCAAATCTCACAATCTCTCATCCCCAATAAGAGCAAAGTTCATCCTGTTCTTCAACACTTCAAGAACTTCAACTACATATCTCTTGTAACGAAGCAAGTTGGAGAAAACTCTGTTTTCAGAACATCTTCTGAAAAGAAGGGCGTCCAAGTAACTGCAGTAGTGAAGTGGTGATACTTCCAGGAAGCTGAGTGAAAGGACCAGCCATCAGGACGTGGAATTGCATCCTGGGTGGCATCTAGGCTTGAAGAAGACGAGGAGTGCTTCTTAAGTGCTAGGAATTAGCTTTGTAACTGATCTACTTCAAAGCTAGTGGAACAGTGGACTAGAGGAACGAGTTGTTCCTTGAACCACTATAAAATATCCGGTGTCATTTATTTTACTGCAATTTTCATTTCTGCACTTAGGATATTAACTGATTAACTCTAAGACTTGGAATCTGTGTTCAGCAGATCTTGTTTTAAGAGCTATCAGAAAGGCATTTGCCTTAGTGTTTCTGAGGCTACCCGGACAGATCAGAATCCGCTGCCAAGGCCAGTTCTGATATCAGAACCAGCCTATCTCTGTCATCAGAATCAGACCTTCTCTGATAAGTCACTTTTGACTTAGAGAAAATTTGAAAAACCAACCAGTCTATTCACCCCCCCCCTCTAGACTGGTTACCATATTAAACGGGACCAACAAGTGGTATCAGAGCCTCCTTGTTCTTGTAATCTTTTAGGTTACTCTCTGAACAAAAGATCCACTTGTTCTTAGCCTCTATTTACTTACTATTATGGATAACTCTCTTGCAAAGCACCTCATGTTTTCAGATCAGAAGTATGATGACTGGAAGATCAGAATGAAAGCACACCTCTGCGCTCTTCATGATGAAATGTGGGAAGTCCTTGAAGAAGGACCTTTCACCAAATTTATGAAGGTAAATTCTGAGCATACTATTGACAGGACTCAGCCTGAGATGATTGAGAAAGCCAGATCAGAATGGACAAAGGAAGAGAGGAGACAGTACAATCTTGACAATATTGCCAAAGATATCCTCTACAAAGCCATTGACAACAGATACTTCAACAGAATCAAGAAGTGTCGAACTGCCAAAGAAATATGGGACAAACTTGATCTCATAGGAGCAGGTGATGAACAAGAGAGAGACAACAAACTGACAATAGCTATGAAGAAGTTTGATGACTTCAAACTTCTACCTGAGGAATGCATAGCTGAGATGCATGCCAGACTTCTGATTCTTACCAGTGAGATATCCGAGCTTGGGAAGGAGCTCACAGTTAAAGAAGTCAACCTGAAGATTCTCAGAGGACTGCCCCCAGTCTGGAAGATGAAGGTTATTGCTGTCCAAGAAAGCAAGGACATCAAAACCTATCCCACAGAGAAACTGATATCTGATCTCAAAGCTTATGAGTTTGAGATGCATGATGAGAAAGAAGAAGTGCCAGATGAGAGAACCACAACTGCTCTTACTGCCAGCACTTCTAAGGCTACAAACTTTGATCCCTCAACTCTTCTATCTGATGAATATATGGCTGCCTTTGCCAGAAAATTCAGAAAATTTATGAAGAAAGATGGAAAGAGTCCATCTTCCATCAGAAGACCACATCAGAAGACCAAATCTTCTGAAAGCAATGGAGAGTACCTCTGCTACAACTGCAGACAGCCTGGGCACTTCAAAGCAAACTGCCCCTACCCCAGAGTGTCCAAGAAGCAAGGACACGAAGAAGAAAAGAAGCCTGAAGATCAACACAGAAGAAGAAGAGCACTCATTTCAGAACAAGCTGAGAGAGACCCACTCTCTGAATCAGAGTCCAGTTCAGACTCTGACTCTGATGAAGCTTTCTGCTGCTTGGATGCAGAAACTGAAGACCTTTGCCTCATGGCACAATCTGATGATGAGGTATGCTCCACTTCTGACTTTATTTCTTCTTCGGTAGGCACAGCCTTAAATGATGATCCAATGTCATCATTTTGGGAAGAGTTCCAAACTATCCAAGCCACTTATTCTTCTGTTAAAGATGAGAACAGTAGGCTGAAAGTTGATATCTCTGATCTAAGGAAAGAGACTGAGTGCAAACTTAATCTCTTAACTGAGGAAAGAGATAGACTGAAGGCTGAAAATGAGTCTCTTCTTAAAAGAATAAGAGATATTGAAGAACTTGAGAGTAGATATAATAGTCTTCTGAAGATGCAATCTTCCATGAAGAATATTGGTGACTCTCATAACTTCACCTCTGGTCTTGGATATGTTGAACCAGAGTCTGGTGAGCCTTCTGTAAGGCCTAGCACCAAAGTTGCTAAGGCTAAAAAGGTCACAGTGCCACAGACTCTGAGCCCCATTTGCCATGCTAGTACTTCTGGTACTAAGGTTGTTCATGAGAAGGTCACACCAGAGAAACAAACTCTAAAGGCCAAACCAAAACACAGTTTGAGAACTAATGAACCTGGCAGAAACTCAAACAAAAGGAAGAGTTTTCAGAAAAATAACAATCAAAGGCCTAATCCAATCAGACAATCTCATGACAATGGTATCAGAAACTGCTATCAGAAAGGCAGATATCATGAGAAGATTAACTATAGGCAGAAGAGGCTGTCTGGTAAACCTCAGAAGCCTAAAGTTAAGCGCTCCTCTGATCTTGATAGCATATGGGACTTCTTTCCAACAAAGAAGGCTATGCAGAAATATGCAAACAGAAAGCATGATCCTCACAAGCATCTGCCCAAAGTGAATCATACATCTGTTTACTACAACTACCAGGTGGACAATGGGTACCATCCACCAAGGTTTCAGTTGATGAGACCAAAATGGTACCAACTACCAAGACTGCATTACCCCCCAGGACCCAACATTGCTTGGGTACCTAAATCTTCCTTTTAATCTTGCAGGAACTGTGTGCTGGAGCCACCTCAGAACAAGAATGGTATATTGACAGTGGATGCTCCAGGCACATGACAGGTGACAAGAGTTGCCTATCAGAGTTCCAGAAAATCAATGGACCCAGAGTCACTTTCGGTGGAAATGACAAGGAAGGGCAAACAAAAGGAAGAGGGAAGCTGATCAAGAACCAGATAATCATTGAAGATGTCTCATATGTCAAAGGTCTGAAGTTCAACCTCCTGAGTGCTAGCCAGTTCTGTGACAAAGGCTACACAGTTGAATTCACCAAGACCTTATGCTATGTCAAGCATGAGACAACCAAAGAAGTAGTTCTTACAGCCAAAAGAAGAAAGAACATCTATGTTGTTGACTGGCAAACAGCAAAAGATGGAACCTGCCTGATAGCAAAGGACAATTCAATGCTAAGCTGGGACTGGCACAAGAAGCTTAGCCACCTGAATTTCAAAACCATCAACAAACTGGCAAGGGAACACATTGTAGATGGTCTGCCTGACATTGTCTA